CCCGCCCCGCCGCATGTAATGTGTAATGGATGCTGTCCGCGCGGCGATGTGTAATGCATTTGTGTATGAGGGCGGAGCGCGGTGCCGCTCCTCGCTGCAAAGCGGTCTGCTCATCTGATGAACTCGCGTGCCCGCCGCCGCGGGCAGGTACCGCCGCCCACTCGGAGTACCAATTACCCCGGGATTATATTTGGAATGCGAGCAACAGATACCAACCAGCGATCTGGAAGTCGCACGAGTAGGAGTATTATGTATCATTACAGTCGTCGTGACCATTCATTAGAACACAGCTACAAAGGCTGGACACTGGGAAACCGAATGGTGGCTCATGATATCTAAAAGGAAGGAAAGAATTACTAAAGGAGCTACTCAGGAATATATAAAATATACGATACAATTAATTGACAGAAAATTAAAATACTGACAAAATTAATATCTCTAACGTAATTAAAAAATTAGTATAAAAGGGTCTAATGAACACAAATTTATTGACGAGAAACTCTTGTGTAAAAGGTAACGGCAGTGCGTCATACGTAAAGGAGATCGTTAAGTTTCTTTCTGATCTAAATTATTCAATTACTGTGAGGAAAGTATTATGTACAACAAACTATAGACCTTCTATTCTTTCTAGTTAAACAACCAAAAAAAGCTATCGTAATTTTTGTAATTACAAAAAAGAAATTCGGTCAAGCTTCATTGTGTTTATCCACTTGCATTAAGAAATAGCAACTGATCGTTGTTAATTAACCGCATCAATTAGTTAAATTAACCGCATAGCAAGAGGTATCAAAATATAAAGGAAAACCACAAGACTAAACGTGAGATTTTGTCTATAGTTATTGTGTATTTTAACGTTATTGTAGTCTATTCATTCTCCAATCCCTTTTCACTGCTTTCAACAGAACTAGCGAGAGAGCATCAAAAGCAGCCAGATACCCTAATACGGTAATTACCAAAGCGTGTATGGCATGCTTTGGTGCGGTTTAACTCGAGATTTAATCACGCGCGAGAGGCCCCAATGACGGAACGGAGAGGAGACACACGAGTGCGGGGGGAGGAGGCAGCGAGGAGGGGGGAAGCTGCAAATTCAGAGACAGCAGCATGGTCGGTGAACGGCTATAGCGAGTTGACACCGCAACGGGGCTACTGAATAATGCCAAAAATGACGGCCAAATGCACGCAGGGCAGCAGTCATAATGACACTGTTATAATAAAGTGACGGTGCGTCAGGAAATCTGTGCAGCAGGCTAGTTACGTGAGGCCACGGCTGGCATGATGCAAATGTTATCAGAGCAGCAGGTGTGACATTGGGTTTTCAAACGAAGAGATTTCCCTATGTTTAGAACATCAAAGGACGTCCCGACACTCAACCCGACACTCAACCCGGAGTCATCCATTAGAATAACACAGAGATATGTAAAGTGTACACGACACTGTTGAACGGCAGCCTGTAATGTTCTTGTAAACCAAAGCATTTAGTAAGAATTTTGTTCCATTATTTAAACACCTATTTAATACTTCAAAACCTACATTTGAAACCAGCAACAAACGACAACTATTGCTCTCAATAAACGTTTAGTATTGCTTTCGTTTTTAAAAATATTTTATATCAACACAAAAAGCCAATAATACTGTAATATTTATTTCCAGAATGAATAAGATGGCATTGGGTAGTGTAATATGTGTATCGAAAATGTTCTGAAAAAATTGTGGTTAATTAAAACCAAATCAAATAAATAATTTCCAAATTATCATAATAAATGAGTTGTAGGGAGACAAGTATTACCTTATTCTTTAAACCTATTTTAGAAATAAATAAAATCAAGGGGTTAGCAGCAAGTGAGAGAGATAAACGAGGTGTAATCACGGCCACACCCTCCGTTAAATGGTAGCCGTTGCGTATTAAACGTGGGGACACATCCTAAATGAATACTACAACTTTTGAAACGCGATGATCTAATTTGAAGCAGAACTGAAACCACAACCCATGCACCACAATCCGTGCACCACAATACACACATACTCACATACCAGACGCACTACCAAACGTTACGCACATTATTCACGCTCCTTTGTCCGGCCCCACATCTCACGCCGCCTCAACCCCGATCACATCGGCCGATCCCGCTCTCGGCGAGCGGCGGGAAAAGAGCGCTCCGCGGAGTTTAAAGCACTTTTTGTGGCGCACGCCAGGCGCGTAAATTCATTTTTCCCGCCGCTGCCCCCGCCGCCCAGATGCCATTCTCCTCACGCGCGCGCATCAAAAGCTCGTTCGGCCGAGATGAAAAAGCCCCCCGCGCGGCGTCGCAGCCGAGCTGGAGCTGGGAGAGGTCGGCTTTGGAGAGCGTTGGCGGAGTAAAATCGGTCCGGTGTTACGACTGCATCCGACTGGCGGCTCTCGACGGCACTTCACTCTCCCTCTCATTCTCCCCCTCGCTTTCATTCTCCCTCTTCCTCTTCCCCTCATCCACACGTTTCCCCTCATCTACCCTCTTTCCCTGATCTACTCTCTTTCCCTGATCTACTCTCTTTCCCTGATCTACTCTCTTTCCCTGATCTACTCTCTCTCTCTCCCTGATCTACCCTCTCCTCTGATCAACCCTTTCCCCTGGTCTACCCTCTCCCCTGGTCTACCATCTCCCCTGATCTACCCTCTCTCTCAATCTTCCTTCCCCCCTCATTATCCCTCTCCTCTTCATTATCCCCTTCTCTCATTAACCCTCGCCCCCTCGTTATCCCTCTCCCCCTCATTATTCCTCTTTCCCTCCCTTCATTCATGTTCATCACCCCAACGTGATACTCA